ATAAGAATTATTTTTGCCTGTCAAAATACATAAAATTAAGCTGCATGTAAAAATTTTGATGTCGTTGTTATTTTGGGCATAACTTGATTTCTCTGAGAAAGTAGAAAACTGAAACTGATGATTTATGCATCAGTGAGATCCAAGTACCATGTAGATTTTTAGCTATATGAACATAGCTGTTATTCTTACCATAACTCTAAAACTTTTAACTTTAAACATTTGCTCCTAACTTTATTATTTTTTCATATGGAGACTAGCTTGTGCCTGAGAATCTTTGAAAGCCTGGTGCTTCACTTGGTTAGGGAAGCATGCCTGCTGGTGTTAGAAGGTGATTAGTATTTTGATTAATTCTGCATCTCTTGCTGATTTTGACTATTGGATTGTTCCAGCCCCACTTGCTGTGTATTGTAAAAACAAGGAATGATAGTTAAGGTGCTCTTCTGTTAGTTTCAAAAATAAAATTCTGTGTGTGTTCATGACTTAACATGGTCTTAGTCTTATTTTAGTTCTTCAAATTCTTAGTTCTAGCTTAAACCACAGTGAGGAGTGCATCAATTTAAAAACAGTAAGTCTGCTGCTCTTCCAAAAGATAAAACTTTTTAATGTAGAAGAAGCTTTCATGGTGAGAAATAGTAAAGCTGTGGCTGCTGGTGATGAAAGGGGTTTGCAAAGTGGTGGGACAGGAAGGATTTGAATCTTTTCAGTGATTTCCTACTTTGAATATTCTTGCAGAATGGTTTATGTAAACCCATTTTATGTTGCAACCCATCAGTCTTAAACACGTGCAGAGTCTCACTTCCTCTGAAGGAATAATTGACAGCTGAAAATAAGTAACTTCTTGATGGTGTCTAATGTGATGACAAACACCCACATGAACACTGGTCTTTGTGCATTCCAGGGGGAACAATACTCTAAGTTTAATGAAGAAATCAAAACAGTACATACCTGATGACAGTATAAACAGTACACAGTATAAACACTATATCCTGCTTCAAAACATATCTTAGACAGGTATTAGAGAGATTGAAAAATGTGCTCTGTAGACAAAGGAAACAAAAGATTATGTTACTTGTATAGTTTCAGGGACAGAGGAAGAAACATGTCCTCTGGACCAGAATGCATGTCAGTGCTACCATGGCTAACTAGGTCATGCTGAATTAAGGTGGAACAAGATAAAGATACTGAAACCAGTTTGTTTCTTCTTTTAAATTTATTTCTCCACTACCCTGTTGTGAACAAGACAAATTTGTCATTTACTGCTAAACTTATTACTTTGAATGTATAGACCAGGGTATTCTTACAGGTGAATATTGTGGGTTTTGAAGTTCTTTGAGTTTCTGCTTTTGCCTACAGTAGAGATGGGAATGTATATCCTTTAAACCTATTAATGCATTGGCAGAACTCACAGGTTTTAGAGATATGGGGAAGCTGCTGTATGCCTTTGGGGTTTTTTTTCAGTCATATCTACTGTTATAAGTATCTCTCCTTACTAACACTCTGTTAAATCTCTAGAGTGTTATACAATGCAATTACCACTGCAGCATTAAGACAGAGGTGAAGTACTTGAATTGTACTTAGATCTTCGCTTGGAAAGTAAAGCTTTCCTTATTTTTGAATCTGTTGGCTTTCTGTGAGAGGGAAGAATCTAAAGAATTGTAAATGTGAAGGAGCTAAAACTTTATAAATGAACTTGAAAAGTGTGATATCATGAGAGACATACCAAAGAAGCTTTTGGGCAAGAGAAGACCTACTTGGTAACATGTCAGAAATGTGAAATAAGTCTAAATAAAAGACTGTTTCCTTGTTTTTTTTTTTTTTTCATATGTGATTTCAATGCTAAAAATAAAAAGGTGTGCTTGGAGGATTTGACCTTCCTACTTCAGCACTGCTCCTAAGATTTTTAGGTATTTTAATGTATTTCAGAACAGAATAAAATGGTACTTGCTGCAGCTTGAGAAAGCAGAGCTTTTATCTCCTCTAATGTGCTGCTGGTGATACTTTCTGAAATCTTACTAACTCCTGGTAAACTTGAGGGAAGTGCTGAAAGTACAGTACCACATAATTGTGTCAATACACATAACTGCCTAAAGTGAGTGGCAAAGTTGAAAGATACTCAAGAGACTGGAATCTTGAATTGGGTGTGATGGAGACCATAAAAGGAGAGGTTATGTCATCAAAATTCAATACTTTGTATGGAGTCTAGGTGTGATTAAACAAGAGGCAGGTATGAGAAAACTGTTAGTCATGAAAAAAAAAAAAAAACCCAGGAGGCATATCAAACAGATAAGTTAATGAATTGTGAATTTGAGAGAATGCTTGTGGTCAGCTGCACTAGTACCTTAGGAAAGAAAATAGGTTGTACTCCATCTATAGTTAGGATTAAGAGACAGTGGTTGACCTAGAGATTTGATCTAACTATTTTATCATTTAAGCAGTAGTCCTTCAGTTCAGTAAAATTGAAGAGAAGTGGAGAGTTTCATAGATAATGTGTTGTGCAGAAGTGGCGTTTGGAGACTGGATCAGCAGTTAAAGAAAACTGGGAATACGTGCCTGTTATTTCATCTGTTGCTGCTGAATATTTCTTCTGAGGTCGTGGAGGAAGTATCTAAGACAAGAGAGGAGGTAAAATTCCAAGAAGCAGAAGAAACGGTAGCACTTGAGGAGCAGATGATGTTGCTGACTGCTGTAGTTGACTGTCCCTGGCCTGATGCTTGTTACCATTACTGCTGGCTTGGATGTAGAGAGAGAAAATACCAACTTACACATGCCAGGAAAACTCAAGTTCTGGTGTCTGGTCCTGTAGTGGAGTTTTCTACTCCACTGAGTTGGTAGATGTCTTCATTCTCTATAAAGTTTGAGATGTGAGAGATGGCATAGGTTTCACACATGAAATTGAGGGGTAGTCCTCAGGCCAGCTCTCATACTACCTGTGTGTGTTATGAATGTTTGGCTTTCAAGTGTCATGAATGTGTCATAGGATTATTTGCAAAGGAAAGATGAAAGTAAAAGTTCATTTTGTCCTGTGAAGACTATGGTGTCCAATGTTAGTGATTGTATGCTGCATGAAAGAGATTTTAAAAGGAAAATTTTGGTGCGGCTACTCAGTAGCTGCCAAATATAAATAAAAATGGCCATGTCACTACTTAGGCTTCAGTACTTCTACAGAGTGCCTAGCTTGTTTCAGTGTAGTGTAAATTAATGGGAAATCAGAAGAGAATGAAATGGGAACAAAGTATGCCAAAAGATAGTAGCGTTTGTTCAAAGAGCTCTGCTAAAGAATTCCTGTATATACTGAAGCCAGTATAAATGCTGCTTGTAGTTCTGAGGAATTTGTGCTCATTGCCAAGATTGTCTGTGTAGAAGGAGATGAGGATTTTTTCCCCTTCCATTATGATTATATGGTGACAAAATTTCTGTTCCCCATTGTAAACAGGTGTTAACTACCACATCATGATACAGTACACATGACTGTGTCAGTTTCCAGCAGAGAAACAACTTGTTCTTGAATATGCATTTCAGAGATGTCTCCTTTCTCATGCTCTCCCCCACTCCACAGCTTTTCAGGTGGTGAAATCTCAGCTATTAATCATTTGCCAGAGAAGAAACTGATTATGAAACAGACGTTATATTAATCTCTTGTCTGCTGCTAGAGTTTCAAGTGACTTCTTCTTTCTGTGGCTTCCTGTATTTAGATGAAAACATAAGATTTCTGTTTACATGTTTTATTCTGGATGTTTTGAAAGCAGTTGTTGCAATTCTAAGTAAAGGACTGGATTTACTGATTGCTTTGTTTACAGCCCATGCTGTTGTCAGTCTTATGCTTTGGGAACAAACCTGTTGAAATGTTAGTTTTTGGGTTTCAAACTTGGTCAGTACATTAATTTTAAGTAGTTATTCAGTGATACTGAAATAAATAAACTCATTGAGAAGATTTTTACACTATTTGGGACTCCATAAGTTATGAAATGTGAAACTTCTGATTCTTATAGCAGCAATTTAAATACCATGTTCAATAGATAGAGAAGTAAAATGTAACTTCTTTGAAATGTCTTTTTTGGTTAAACAACAGGAAGTTTTGTGCTCATTTTCAGACTGTTATAGCTTAGGGACACTAATGTAGATTTTAATTAAATTACCCATTTTTAACTACCTTGTTTGTAACTACTAAGCTGCTTCTTCCAAATAAATACTTCAAGGTGTGAGTAACACAGGTGCAAATGGTAGAAACAGTTACCGAAAAGTTCACCCTCAGCATTCCTTGGTGCTCTTGACGAGTTTTTCATTACTTTGACATGAAGTAATAGGGCTTCTGGGTGCACAGAGAGCTTGCCCAGGTTTCTGATAACACACCTGACTTTGTTATTTTTGTTGTCTCTTTGGGGGTAGTCAGTCGAACAATATCTACCAGTTTGTTGTCACACCATGTGTACATGAGCTGCATCATTAAGTTGTCCTATTTCCCATAAATAAAAGATGCTCCATTTAATTTCCAAGCTATAGTTAATCCCATAACTAGCAAAAATACTACATAGATGCATTTTTCTTTTTTTTTATGTTGGGCACAGATTTCTATTTTTTGGGGGGGGCTTTCCAGCTGCTTTATTATTAAAAAAACATAAAAGAACTGTTTTTATGCACCTTATAAATGATGTGAGCAATCTTGTAAGTGTTCTGAGGAGGTGCATGTAATTTTTACTTCAATAGCTGAATTCCATAAACAGGATGAGTAGGCAGCAAATTTACAGACATGAAAGACATATAAAGATGGGTGCTGCAATTAAAAAAAAAAAAAAAAACAAAAACCAAAACCAGTTGAAAACCCCCAAACAAAGCAGAAGAAAATAGACAAAACCAGAGCAGTTTTTCAGCTACTGTGATGTTCATGAGAAGAGGAAGCAAATGGCATTGAGATTTGGGAAATAATAAAAAGAGGAGATTGTCATGTTAGATTATAATCTGTTACTGTATTTAATGGCTAATATACGTTTTTCCCCCCACAGAAATTAGCAGAGTACGGAAAGACATGTATAACGACACATTAAATGGTAGTACGGAGAAGAGAAGTGCAGAATTACCAGATGCTGTGGGACCTATTGTACAGTTACAAGAGAAACTATATGTGCCTGTAAAAGAATATCCAGATGTAAGTATATCTTTTTAGTCCCTAAATAATTTTTTGATCCTTGTGGTCGTCTTTAAATGTAAATTTCATGTGATGCTACCCTTGGATCACGCTGAGTTGCTTTGGATACTAGGGAATCAGTGTGTGTTCCACTTTGCTTGATTTGCAGTGAGTGTGAGTGGAGGAAGGTTGTGTTAAATACCAAACTAGTATGGATTGTTAAACCTGAGATGTAAGATCCTAATTATCTTGTTCAAAGTGTTTTCCATCCTGAGACACTTGTGAAGTGAATTTTAGGAGGAAAGTAGTTCTTGGGATGGTGCTTTTTTCTTCTTGCTGTGTCTCTACATCAGCTGCAGAATGCTTTGGAGCCCTTTAAACACCTTTTGGAGACTGTACTTAGTCTCAATTACTATTTGTCCCATACCTGTGTAACCAGTTCTGTTGCTTATAGAAGTGTCTTTATCTCAGGGTTGGTTGTCCTGTCCTCTCCTCTTTCCCAACCCTGCTTAAGCAAAACTCTTTGCTTGCCTGTCAATATTGTGCACTCCGTGGGGTGTTCTGTTCCATTGTGCACTCACATTCTGAAGGAGAATGGTTTCATTTAACTAGATGTTTTGAATTCATCTGATCGGAAGTGTTTCTAAAAACTACTTGGGAAGAACAGTCCTTTCAAAATCTACCAATCTACCCCAACTACCTCCAGCTGTTTTCAATTGATCAGGGACAAAATAAGAAACCATGTTCTTCTTTCCAGATAGAATTTACAGGTTCTGTTGCAGTAGAGGAGTGCAGGGTCCAAGTAAGGGATTTGCACATTAAAGTGATATAAAGTGGAAGAAAGTACAGAACAGCAAAAATGGAGGTAACACTTGTGTATTTCTGTGGCTTTTCTTTGTATGCTTAATTAGATTAAGCTCTCCAAATGGAGTTTTATTATTTCTGTGCTGCTTAGAACATACAGGCCTCTAAATAAACCTCACTGTGCCATGCTCCATTAAGAAAATTAAGTGCAAGTCCTTATTCAGAACTGAATACTTAGACAAATGTCTTTTCTCAGTTTTCAAGTTTTCATGTAGTTCTTTTGCTTTGAGTTTGAAACACCTGTACTGGGAAAAGTCTTAAAACAATTTGACTGGCACTAAAGACATCTCTCTCCCCTTGTATTGCGTTTTTCTTCCAAATTAAACATGTGGGTGTCTATATACATCTGTGTATGTATGTGTCCCTACACCAAAACCAGATTCAGATTTTTGAGAGCAATTGTCCTATGCAGTTGTTCCACAAAACCATGTAAGTAGCTCTGGATTTAATACCTCCAGATATCTTAGAATTATATTGCCTAGTGGCTTTTTAAAACATTTCTTATTTATTGAAACCTTGGTTTCATAACTTGACAATGTATCCTTTGTGAAGAGTTGCCAAAGTTATTTGTTGTAGTTTTTACAGAGCTTGATGCCTGCTGTAGGAGGATTGAGAGTAAGAAAAAGGTGTTGGATTTCCCTTAACTATTAAGCTGCTGTTCTAGAAATCAGGGTTTAGCAGCTTAGCTCTTCACTGCCAGTTAATTATCATATATAGTGTAAATGAGCAGGAAAGAGTTTGTCTCTAGTTTCTAACAAAGAAATGATTTCACTAGCTACTGCTAGCTCTTTGTTTGCTTTCAGAAGAACGGCCTTGAAGTGGTCATTAATTTATTTTAATAAACCCTTAGGCATTCGGAAGTTGGAGAAGCTTGTGATTTGTGTGCATGTGACCTGGAATAAAAAGGCTTTTGGCTCTTGTGAGATGATGTGAAGTGTGTGCTAGAAAAGGGGAAGTTTCTGCTGCTGCAGTGGGACCTGGCAGTTCAGGCTTTACTGGGGAGCCAAGGCTGGGGGGGTTCTGTGTGCTCCTGTATTTGTTCATTGCTACTTGGAATGGGATCTGCCCAGCCTTAATAATTGGTTAATAACCAGAATATACCACTGCATACAAATAAAAAGCTGTGATTAGGTATGTAGGCCATTTCCAGAATTTTTCTGCAGGTTAGGTATTAAGTAATCTGCTTTGAATTTAGGCCAGCACAGCATTCAGAAAGCCTGGAGTACAGTGATTCCAGCTTACTAAAAAAAAAAAAAAAAAATAGTGTAAAATTCACAGATAAGTATTAATTTCACCAGTGAAGGTAAATTTGTGTGTAAAGAGAGAAATTGTTACCTGTGAGAATTTTCACAGCAGTATATGAAACTTTTTACTCATATTCAGCAGTTAATTTAGTTGTTACCAGATATAGGAAAGACATGCTGTATAAACTATGAGAGTGAGTTTCTTAGATAAATCTAGTTGATTCTTTCTATTGCCATAATTTTCTTCCGACTGACTGTCTTGTATGCATTACAAAGATATAAAGTTGTATAAACCTAAAGTTGCTCAGAGAAAAGTGATCAGAAACTGGTTTTCTGATGTATATTTAATAATATTTTTACTAAGAGAGATTAAAAAATCAGCAAAATGCTAGGACATTCTAATAGGCTTTTGTTATGGTAAATATTTTTGACTTAGAATTTTGAGGATATTGGTTAGTTGACTGTGGTGAATACTGCATAGTACTATAGTGCCGTTTTGTGCACAGAATCCTAAGTTTCTTGTGATGCATAAAAGTAGTGGTCTAGTTAAACCATAAGTTTTAACAAACATGCTTTATATATGTGTATATATAAACATACACAAAAGATGAAACAGTAAATTTTCTTAGCCTGCATCACTTTGATATTACTGTTTTACTCTGCTTTGGTTGTCCACACAAAATAAAGAATCTATAAACTTAAAAGTTAAAATAAATCTGTAAAATCTCCTGAAGGATCCTAATTTTTTTTGTACCAGTGCATATTGAGTATTTTTAATGTAATATTTATTTGAAGGCCACAGTTAGTGCAAGATTCAACTTGCCAAAAAATTGACTGAAACAGCTTGTAGTTTTTAAATGCTGACTGTGCAGAGTCTGAATTTCTGCTTCTGTACTAGTAAGTGGAAGATACACAAAAATCTTGCTAGGCAAGAATTAATTTTCTTTGGTGTGTTGTATTAATGAGATTTTTTCCATTATGTAGTCACAGTCTGATAAATTGTGTAACTGCTGGGATGGTACCCTTTGTGGCACATTTTTTTTCATAGGAAGCCACTGTTATGCAATTGGGTCTATTTGTATTGTTTTCTTCTAATACCCTTGAAAGGTGTTTAAATTTCATAGAAATTTTAGTATTAAAACTGAGATTTTTAGCTTTTCTGAGCCATGTATTTATGCTCCTGTAACTTGAGAGAGTACTTTTGAAGAAGGCACCCAAGAAGTGAAATTTCATTAATTGTCCATATTTTGCCCTTAAGTTAAAAGTGAGTTCCCTAAAGAGTAATGGTTGTACTCTTGTGTAAGTCGTTGGTGCTACAGTTTGAAGACATTTCCAGTTCATGGAAGAATAACTTCCATCAGAATTTAAAAAAGTAAGAAGAAAAGATATCAGAGAAATTGTTGAGCTCTTAAGAAGCAGAAGAATGGAGGATAAGCTATTGTTTGTGAGTGAATAGTTAAAAGTCTTTAGCATTTCTTATGCTTCAGATAAATGATTAATTTTCTCAAATTTCCCTAGAGAGATGAGACTAAACTTTCTGCCTGATATCAATTTAAACAGTTCTTGGAATTAGTACCTACAAATGTTGAACTGAATAAATGGTTTTTTTTCTATTATAATAATGGCTCTATTAATAATAAGTGCCCTGTTCTTTCTGATTAATGTGAAATTCTCTGTTGGAACTCTTCTGTGCCTCTTCAGTAAAAATGTAAGAAGTCAGTAATTATCGCATCTAAAGTAGCGTGTCCTTAGAGGATAGTGCAGCTCAAAGGGCAGCAGTGATAAACAGCTTGTGCGTACTTCTGACCATTTTAGTTAAAGCTGTTTAATTAGTACAACACAACGATCAACGCTGGGACTCGTTTTACTATGGGGAACTTACTGACAAAGTGTTTAAATCCTTCTTCAATTTGTAATATCAGAGTTTAATAGCATGCCTAATATGGATTAGGAAAATGATAACATCTTATTTATTTATTGTTCTGATTATTTTACTTAAGCTTTTCACTCCCTAGTGGTAAACAGGGAAAGAAGCTAAAAGACTAGGCCTTGTTTACCCTTGCAATTTGAAGGAAGGAGAGACTATAACTGCTCTCTGTACATAAACTTGGAATACAGAATAATGGCAGGGCTGCAGGAAGATTTGGAAAATGGTCAGCTACTGCTGAAAGTACAAATGTATATGAAATAACTAAAGTAGTTTGATTACTAATTTTCAGTCTTAGTAGGGTCATTGGAAAAACATTTTAATACAAGTAATGGGAACAAAGAATTTAATTTTGATTTTGAACTTTATGTATTAATGAGAGGCTTTATGTGCTCTGGTTGCACATGGTAAGGATATGGATTGAGAAAGGGCCCCTTTGTTTAGATGCTGTTAAAATGGAGTAATGCCTTAATATCTGTATGAAGATTTTTTTACGCCTTTTATCTAATGTTTTATTAGATATCTTTCCATTACTCACCATCTGAATCACCTCTTGACAGTTTTTTTTTTTGTTTTTTTTTTTTTTTTTTTTTTTTTTTTTTTTTGAACCGTGCTAAACACTCAATAGCTGGTTTGGGGGATTTGGGGTTTGTTGTTTTTTGGGTGGGTGTTTTAGTTTTGGGTTTTTTTGGTGCAGGATGACGGATGTTGTCATAATTTTATTCACAGATTAGCTGGTCAAATCTCCAGAGCATATTTGTACATGGAGGCAAAAGGATGAAAGACAGTCTAAAATACATTGGAATTAAAAATCCTATCCTTTAGTCCCTTACACTAATCTTGCAAGCTGAGCAGCAGCTCACCTGTACCAATTAACTTGGTCCATATCTCCATTATTTTTTTCCTCTTAAACTCTTGAAGAATTTAGTGGAATTAAGTCAGGTGATTGCCTTGTCATTTATCTGTTAATGTTCTTCATCCCATTT